GTCTGGCTGTTCCAGGCTGCAGGTCCAACACCAGGACACGATTCAAATGTGTGAATGAAGAATGTGCTGCAGGCACTATTAAACCTTTAAACGCTAACCGGTCGCCAGCGATGGGTGAGGCTTTAAAGCTGGGTTGTCCAGGCCTCGAGGGCCGGGGTCCTGCAGGTTTTAGATATCACCTGGGTCAACACCCCCGCTTTAAAGGGTGAATCACTCTGAGGCAGAGCAGCATGATGTAGGAACCAGACTTCACACTGCAGACACAACCAACCAATGGGCTTTGATCAGGGGTCATGACAATTTGCATATTAATGATCCTAACCTGACCTCCTCGCCCGTTGTTAGTCAGCGTCACTGTGCAGATGTGCTGTTTGAGGTCGGGGACCTGCAGTCAGCTGACATGAAGACATCAGCTGATGAAAAACGTCCAGCTGGACAGAATCGACTTTAGGATGAATTGATCATGTTTGAGGAAGCAGACGATGCTCCACGTGTTCTAGGAGCACGCCGTCTCACAGCAGGGTATGTTGTGTTATATATTACATGTGCATGCTGTGGGATGTCTTTGAGGGTCCGTCTCCTTAACCTGACAAACCTAAAGACCAAGAAGCTGTGATTCTTGCAGGTGTGCTCGAGACATCATAAAATAAGGACTCTGGAGCTCTGCGGTGGGAGAACCGTTACTTCTGCACCTGTCGAGGAGCATGAGGACGTTGTGCATGGACTCTTTTAGTTCTGTGACAGACAGAGAGTACCGTACAACAATAAAGTATTTGACCTCTGACCTCACAGCTACCTCTCTCTGACCTGCTGTATGTGTAAAGACTGTCAGGAGAAAAGCCGAGCTGCAGAGTCAGCGACAAACTGTAGTGTAATATTTTATAAGCTCGAGTTACTCACCAGTAATCTACACAATCTGTGTAATCAGAGTAAACCTAAATGATGGATGACATCACGCGTGGAGCTACAGACACGGTGGCTCAGCTGGGCGGTCCATCCTCACCCCTGGGGGGCTTTAGTCTCAGTTTCTGAGCTTGTTGTGTTTCTGTAAGCTGCACTGTCACTGGGTATTCCTTTTGTTCACCACCAGGTGGCAGCACCGCACCAGCACAGAACCTGAGGGGGCCTTAAACTCAGCTGGTGCTGCAGTTTGTTCACGTCCTGCAAGCTCGGTTCAGTCTGAGCATCCTCTCTGCCTGTTTCATCTGGTATCAACAAACAAACACCCTCCACTTCAGTCTGTCTGTGGGAGTCTGCATTACATCACTCATGGAGACTCTGATCTGTGAGGAAGACGAAGGCTGCGATAACAGTTCAGTTTTTATTGAAAGGCTGCAGGACAGAAGAGGCGGTGCGACTGAAATACAGAGCTCATCACAGAGAAACACATTTGGCACAAATCAACAGAAGCTCTGATCAATCATCACTGTTCAGGTAAAAAACTGGACGACTTCACCGTGAAGTTCTCCAGCTGTGAGGAAACCTGTGGCTCTGACGTCACACTGATGATGTCACAGAAACGCTGCTTCTCTACTCTGATCCGAGTTAGAGACGACGACACGCTGATCAGGAATATTAGGAGAGTGCGTTTCAGCCTCGGGCTCCTTCACCGTCTCCAATCTCAGGTTTTGTTTGTTCGGCTCGTCCGTCGTGCTCTGACCTGCACGAAAGACGCTGCACGACCTAACGCTCTCCTGAGGTCAAAGGTCAAACAGGAAGTCGACAGCCAGTTTGGATCATCCGTCACATTTATAAAACAAAATGATTCAGTTAAACGAGTTAAACCAGTTTTGAAGATTAACGGACAAATACTGAAGAACTTCAACCCAAAGATTATTATAAAATCTGCTAATGCTAAGCAGCTCATTCAGTGAAACATCCATACTAAGCCACGAAACCGCTTCAATTATAAAATCAAACTAAATAAAGCACTCGTCAGTCTTTACAGGGACCATTCTGCTCGTTTCAGGCTGCTTATTTATCCTCTGTCTGAAACAAGCTGCTTCAGCTCCCGGCTCTTTAAGCCCCTCCTCCCTCAAAGCCCACTGTCCTCTGACTGGCCAGCTTCCAGAGGCCTGCTGAGGGGCCGCACGGAGCTGCTGAGCTGTGCTGACAGTCGGAGGAAATCTGTGGCGTCACGACGTCATCAACAAAACAGGAAACCAACGGAAACGCTTAAAGTCGGTGACGTTTACGCGGCGCTACGGAACCAAAGCTGCTCGCCTTTAATACACGAGCAGAATAAGACGAGTTTGTAATATATTAATACAAAGGACAAGAGGAGGAGG